CTTGTTTTATCTGAAATACTCGCCGCTTCCCATTTATCGTCATTTGTGTACACATTAGGAAAATCTTGCTCTATATAGGTCATTGTTACTTTAGATGCTCTTAAAATCTTTTTTTTCCTCAGATTTCTTACGGTCGTGGTGGAAAGGGCATCGGCCTTGGACTTCGGTTTGCGCACACCTTTTCTGATCGCCTTTCTTGTCATCTAGGTTTGCGTATATTGCGTTGTAAGTGGAGTGATAACTGGTTCTCGTTAGCGCCTGGAATTGGCACTGGCGTTTCTCTTCAATTAACCCCTCAACTTAAAGCAACTGCTCAGCTGGGTTGGTTCATCAACAGTGGCTTGTCTACAGAGGTAGTCTGGGCATCACCTTCTGGTATGCTTGGACTCCGTATAGGTACCTATCTCCGTCCAACTGGCAAGTTCGGAATAACCGTCAATCTCGAGAAAACGTTACTAGCTGCCTGGCTTGCTGAACCACTAAGTGCTTCAAGTTCAGATTATGACAATCAAGATATTGGCGCCCGTCATCAGAAAACTCGATCCTCATCATTCCAAGATGATGAAGATAGGGTTCATTGTAAAGAAGAGGATTCCGGATGCCCTTTCGATAGGAGAGGCCGGCTATCGCTCATGATGAGTCTTAATTCATCCGACACTTTTTCATTTGGCGCAGGATTGACCAGCCCGATATCAACTTATTCTCGGTTAACCGGGTTTATTCATCTCAGTCTCACTCAAGGCATTACTTTTCGCTTGACTCTACAGCGTGGTCAACAAACGTACGCGCTGCCTATTCGGCTTTCAGCGGAAGCTGACCCAGTTGCTTTTGGCTATGGCTTTTTGGTTCCCTTGTTGGCATTCGCGGCGATTCGAAGTCTTGTCTATGAACCTTGGCTCCGTAGGGAGCTAGAGCGTGCACAAGTATTTCGTCGCAAGCGACTGCGCGACGAGCTTTTCCGTCGTCGACAGCAAGCTCTGGCTACTCAAGCCCTGATGAAGCTAGCATCTGAAAGACAGGCGCAAACTGAGGCTGCAATTAAGGGGCTTGTCATTCGCCGAGCAGTCTTTGGATGTATATCTGCATCTACCTCAGATATCGGCGACATTCCTCCAGACGCAGTGGCAACCTCTGTTTCAAAAATCGACCTCAGTGGCCCTATTTGTGTGGACGTGACTACACCACTCCAAGCCATGGTCGAGAATAGCCAACTCCGCCTTCCCCCTGGCCGGTGGTCTGATATGCAGGGTTTCTACGACCCTTGCTTGGGATTGATTGTAGCTCCTAGCTCTTCAGCAAGTCTGGCAGGTCAGCGATCATCTCGGAACGGTGTTTGTCGACAGCTCTATGTGAATTATGAATTCCATTCTGCTCTCCATGAGGTCCTCGTAGATGAGTCACAGGGTTTAGCAATTCCAATGGCCA